CATCAGCACACCAAAAGACCACCAATCAGCACTTTGAGTATGACCACGACGATTAACTACCTCTGGAGCCATATATTCCACAGTTCCACAAAAAGAATAGGCCTTCTTCTCGTGGTCAATAGACTCTTTACTCAAGCCAAAATCTGCCAAAATAAATCCAGAATTTATTAAATATCCTCTAATAATGTACACATGTTGATTTTAAATTTAGTGTTCTAACATTAACATAATTGCATTAAAATTGTAACAAGGCTTTTTACCTGTTAACTTGATGTGACCTTCTTCATCAAGAAGTATGCTAAATGAAAACAAAGTCAGAAAATCTTTTAGCACCACTGAACAGAAACTTACGGAAGCCAAAATTACTTCGTGAAATATCAGCAGGTTTACACTAAAAAAATTACTTAAAACTGTGGAAAAGGTGGAAAAATGATCTTTCAGACATATTAAAACCAAATCACCTGCCATCTCAGAGCAACCATACAGGACAGAACAGAACTGCCCATAGGGTTTCCAAAGTTGGTAATCTTTATGAAAGATCCCATGGTGCGTTCAAATTGCAAATCTATGTAAGTGCTTTAAACATGATGGCACCAGTGCTTTTTCTGTACATATATCTCTCACAAATATCTCAATGCCATACACTTACACTGAAATACACTTGAAAATTTTACGCGAATCCAAAACTCTAAGCTTTTCAAAGCTGCCCTTTTAAAAGTCTTTTTGTAGAGGTGGCCTGATACCCTAGTGCTTGCTCACAATAGAGTGTGTGTGGGGGTGGGGAGGGGGGTGTCAAATATTTAAGTCCAATTCACTGCGGCTCTTGTCCTTTTGGTCATTAAAAACGACCTGACCCAATGTTTCTATCTTTGTTATTCTTCTCACTCCAACTATGCAATTATTTTCCACACACAGTACCTTTCTGACTCACACATTTTTCTTGCCATGGATCCATTTTTTTTTATTGTATACATTCTCCTGTGTTATGTCTTTCTTAGTAAATGGCAAGTCCCTAGAGTCATATTCTTAATCATCTTTGCAGCTCAGAGTCTGATACAGCGATGGCAAGAAGGAAATGTTTGCAGTATAAATGGGTGAGATACCTCAGGTAGGATGAGGACAATGTTCAAATGTATACGTTAGAATTATTTGGACTTTGTTAAACTATAGAGTCTCACTTAGCATATCTGGCATGGAAATAAACTGGTTTAAAACCCTGACTAATACAATTGTTGTGTGAGTTCTAGGAAAGATTTTTACACACACACACACACACACACACACACATATATATATATATATATAAAATCCTACTACTGTATTACTTAATAGTAAAAGTGCTTACTTTTCTGGTTTCAAGTCTCTATAGATTATTCCCAGGCTATGTAAATGGTCTAAAGCAAGCGCAAGTTCAGCCAAGTAGAATTTGACATCTTCTTCTGTGAACATCACCTGAAATAAAATACCAATTGTGAGTCTTCACTTTCTTTTTGTATTTTCAATTCTTAACTAACATCATTCTGAAGTTCAAACAGTCAAAAAAACTTATAGCTATGCCAATCACATCTTGTTCCCACTATACATTTATTAGAAGAATTGGCAAGGAAATTATGCCAGCCAATCACTAAATGTTAACTACTTACTATGTGTTAAATAGCAAGTATATTCAGGTTGTGCCATTGTTGCCCAATCAAAGTAACATTTCAGAAATGAAAGCAGGATTTAAAATTAAAGATGAATTTCCACTCTTATTTCAGGCCACCAGGTTATAAATGAGATCCATTTCTAAATGTGTCTTTAAATTTATTTTGTACACTAGTCAGAACAAGTGCATGCTGTTCTTATTTAGCCTTACTTGAGTTTAAGAAGAGGCTTGAAGCCTCTTCCAAGATTTAGAAACTGCACATGGAGAAAGTAAAGGTTGGCGGACGAAATATTTGCTGGCAGTAGAGGTTGGTCCAATCCACAGAGAGGGCAAATTTGCCTAAACATAAAATTATTCTGAGGCTAAATAGAGCTGTCCTACTTAAAGGCAATCACTAACAAAGCTGCTCTGCATTTGAGTAGCTCTCCACGGTCCTGACAATAATCCAATTTCAGGCATGAGGCTCTGAAAACCTCTTCCGAGTTGCTACCATTCTAGGGATTCGAACTGTAATTATTCCCATTCCTGTTCCTGAGATGATCACTCAAGCAGTACAAATTCAGATCTTGTCCTGTTTCCTTTGTTGACCATGACAGAACAGGCTCAAACTCATTCAAAGCCCTGCTTAAAGGGCAAGTAGAGTTGTCCGTAATTCGGACAGTCTTAACCTGAAGACTGTCTGTATTATTGCCTTTGAAAAGTTTACTAGAAGAAAAAGGGCTAAGATAAAGACAGTTTATAATATAAAGTTCTAATTCCAGAATAAATGTAAAAGTTAGAAAAAAAATTCCTCAATTAAGACTTGTGCTATTAGAGAAAATAACATGAGCATAATACTGAAATATAATTAAGCTTCAGTTGAAATAGGATTCACACAAATAGATTAAAAATAGAGAATGTACCTCTTTGGATAAGCGTGTAAACAAATCTCCTCCCCTGAGAAAATCCAAAATAAGATACAGCTTCCCTTCAGTTTGAAAAGCTGAATTAAGAAATGAAAATAACCATTTAGTCTACTATAGCTCATAGTTTTTAGGCTTACATTAGGTCAACTCACTCAAGAATAAAAAAAAAAATTTAGTAAATTCTCAATTCTATTATTGATATAGATATAGATATAGATATATTTTTGTTTAGAAGGGATAAAAACCACAAATGTCTTTTTGTTTCTAAGTGGAAATTTTAAATGTAGTGTTTCTTATTATGGAACCATTAGAACATCTGATAGATTTTTCTTCAGGCAAGTCTCTCAGGAATACAATGGTTTAACATGTGACTAATGAGCAACACTCCCAACAGAAAGTTTTTTCACCATTAAATAAAACACAAAAACTACCACACTACCAAAAAAACCATGAGAGTTAGTGAGATTTAATTACACATAAGAACCCTCATGCCTTTACTCACTAATTGCAATAATTATTACCATCAGTTCCTATGGTCATTACTGGGAAATGATCTAATGCTTAAGGGAAAAGTAAGCTAAATATGCAATAAAACCATCTAAAGTTTGTCATGCTATAATTTCTATTACTTTACTACTACCTGCTAAACTCATATGGACCTAAACCAGTACATGTTTACATACGTTATCATATGTGAGAACTTGGGGAGTGGAGGGTAAAGTAAAGATATGAGATGAGCACCACTTTCTAACTTACCATAATGTAACTTGACAATAAATGGATGATTAACTTCTACCAAGATATCACGCTCCATTTTTGTCCGAACACGATCTCGAACTAGAAAACAATACACAAATATCTACATTACAATAGCTTTTGGATAAAAGATAGAGAATTCATTGTCCCTAGTAACTATTTTAAGTAAAATTGTCCTCCTATTATATATGAAAACAAATGTGAGTTATCCATGTATTGAGGTCTTTCTATTAAAAAAAGAGCAACCATAAATTTTTACTAAATCATGTTAACAAGAATTGTTACTCTGTACTTTTAAAAGGTTTAGAAAAGTGTCTATCAGATGTAGGTTTAAAACAAAACTTAAAAATATTTTCATTAAAGTGACAGTGTCATAGTGGGAACAAGTTATAAAAAATAAGGTGTACCAATGAAACAGGATACAGCTTCAACACTTCAATCAACCCTATCAAGTCAATTCAACAAAAATTCATTCATTAAGGATGTGTACAATGTGGCTCACCTGGGGAATGAAGATACACTCAAACAGGTCTACCTTGAGAGTGACAAAGCCTAGAGATACTGTTTTACAGCTTTACAGTGGTAAGGAATTGTACTGCCAACCCAAAGGTATGAGGTTCAAATCCACCAGCTGCTTTGTTGGACAAAGTTGGACAATCAACTCCTGTGATTTACTGCCTCTGAAAAACTACTGGAGTGTCAGCTATGAGTGGAGTTGGTTCCAACTCGATGGAACTTAACAATAAAAGGTATAGATCTGGATAATCTCTAGCATGTTACTTAAAACATCAATGACTTCTCAATTATAAAGTGAGGATAATAAGACTACATTTGGAGGCCATTCAAGATAAGGTTTGTATATTCCAGAGCTAATATGTAATATTCACAATGGCTGTTCCTGTACAGTATAAATACTTAAATGCTTTGGCTAACCAAAAGGCTGACTAAGTCTAGCAGAAATACTTAAAATAAAGCCCTGTTGCCCTGTGCCCCCAATCCATGCCCCACTTCCTCCTGAAAGATCAGCCACTGAAAATCTTAGGGTTTTACTCAGATACACATGGGTTTTTATGAGTTAAGTTTGAGAGTATCTAGCTTTATTTTATTTCTTTTCTGCTGGTATTATTATCATACCTACAATATCACCATGCATATATTAACAGCAGAAACCAATGCAAGGAATGCAGAAATCAGAGCGATCAGTTTTCCTCACATAAAAAGGATAGGGGGAAAAAAAAGGAGGTAGGGTTAGGATACAGGTTTAAAGAATGAATGGCATTTAGAAAGGTGGGGAGGCTAAAGAGTATAAAACAGTTAAGTATGGAGTATCAGCACAACCAAACAGTTGGAGGTTTGTATAATGAAGGAGAGAAAAGAAAGAAAGTGTGGAAACAGAGGTTTACTATTGGGAAGCAGACTTAGGGAGGATCCAGATTGCTGACAATTTGGATTTCCAAACTGAATTTACATTTGAATCTGTAGGCAAAGCACTCTTCCACTAAACAAATGTTTCTTGAGCAAATGCCTTGTGAGCAGGAATGACAGACAACTGATTAGAATACATTCTTACCAGAACCTCAATTGTATTGCTAACACAATGCATTTATGAGGTAAAAATGTTTAGTCATTGCAGTTTTTATTTTTTTTTTCTGATATGTATGCTACTCTCTGTCAAAGAGAGTGGGGGGGCAGGGAAGGAGTCTCTTCTTGGTGGTGTGGAGAGGGAACAAAGATGAGTTGGGGGGAAAAAGAAAAAATAAGAAAAAAATGAGTTGGTCTTTCTAAAAAAAAAAAACTATCAGGTACAGTTCACTCTTTAACCATTTTAACTACATAATTCAGCAACGTTAATTCTATTCATTATGTTGTACAACATCACCACTATCCTTTTCCACAAGTTTTCATCATTCCTCCATCTCTCTCAGCCTTTGATTACTTAGAGCTGTCTGTACGCATTTGTGTAGTCTAGATCTTTCACATAGTGAGACCATACACTATTTGTCTTTTTAAGTTGGATTTCTTTAGTGCAACGTTCTCTCATGTCCTATTATGTATTGGAACGTCATTATTCTTTACGTCTATTGTATATGCCACATCTTCTTCATCCAAACATCTGTTGATGAACACTTGGGTTGTTTTCTTCTTCTGGATATTGTGAATAATGCTATCGAGCCTGAGGATTTGCTTCCACAAGGCCATGACCTAGAAAACATTATGGAGCAGCTCTGGTCTGCACACATGCAGTCGTCATAAACTAGACTTGATTGCAATCAATAACTACAACAAATACCCAGAGGGAGGGAGGGAGTGGGTAGACTGCTATCAGAAACAGTAAATGATCACTGCAAATATTCTTTCCAGAATACTTTATAATTATATTTATTTCAAAGTCATATTGAGAAATCAATACAGAAATAATCTAGGGTGGTAACACTACTAAATTTAAAGAAGATTGACGTATTTAAAATCTATGTGTAATTTTTTACCTATACAAAACTAATTCTGCCTTCGATTTTCTAAAATGACAGGCCTGGAATAAAAAAGTCCTTGGAAACAACAAGTCAAGATGATAAAGGCCTTAGAACAGAAGTTATTTTGCACCTAGTAAGTCAGGGATTAAAAAAAAATATATTAAAATAACTATATTAATTTGGAGATAAATAAAATCCCAGTTTTACTATTCCAAACATCAACTTGTCTAAAGCTCAAAGTGAATTTATAATACTTTATGGTAACTTCCTTTCTTGCTACTTCAATAATAAAAATTCACTAAAAGAAAGTCTTAATGACAACAATAGGAACAGATTTAGAATATAAAGAAGTAGCCTAGGAGTCATGTGAGATTTCCAAGATGCTTCAGTGTGTACATATCACATGAACGCGCCAACCAGGTAGGGAAGTACCACTTACCTTTCAATGTGGCCTTCTTCAATACTTTCATGGCATAAAGCTGTCTAGCATCAGAGCCTGAGATTTTTTTAACTAAGAAAACCTGTAATTAACAGAATAAGGAAGTTTTAGAAAGTATCACAAAACTATTAAAAGAAAGACCCCTGCTATGATATAGCTTACTACCAGTCAGATTCTGATACTGTGGAGCAAGTTTTTTCTCTTAAAATTTGTCAATGAAAAAGGGATTCTAAAGAGTAGTTAAAGACATGCTGGCCTGCTAACCAAAAGGTCTGTGGCTGGAATCTAAAGACTGCTTTATAGGTGAAAAATGATGCAATCTCCTCCCATGAAGAGTCATAGGATTGGCTGCCCCATGGAACGTCACTGCTGTCAGGGGTCTGCTCAAAGGCAGTGGGTAAGTTTATTGGTTTACATTGGTTACAACCAATAATAGAAGTGAAAATATTTTTTTCACTTAGCTGTTTTCCAACTTTCAGAGAGCATATGATATTTAACACAAGAATAAAAATAACCAAGACCACCTTTAAACTATGGAGTAATTAGAATGAAAAAGCCTAATATTTAAATGGACTAAATAAATGGGCTTGAATTTAACCTCTATATTTCCTTTTTTACCCATTCCTTTTGTTCTTAAGCTGCCAACGGTGGGAAGAAGAGAATTCACTTTAGGGTCAGCATTAATAAGTTAGATTTAATGTTTGTTGTTGTTAGGTGTCATTGAGTGGTCTGCAACTCACAGCAACCCCACGTGCAAAAGCTCTGAACCCTGCCCTACCCTAAGTTGGTTTCGTTGTCTCTGATACACATATTCCAGATTTATTAGCATATATTAATAAAAATGTCTTCTTCAGCCCATTCTAAGGGACAAGATAAGAAAGAATCGTCACTTGAGAAATTCTGCCAAAGGAGTGGGCAACGACCTCAAATCAAGTGAAGAGGCATGATATGACTTGGCACG